ATCTTGGTGGAGGCCTGGCATAGAAAGCAGAAGGCACATTTCCCGAGCCAACACGAAATGATGGTTTTGTGAATCAGCCAGGCCCCATGCACATATGTTCCGGCCTCTTCTCGGATCGAAAGTGTACAGGCTACAGGCGGTACAGGCTTACAGACTACTATCGTGGCTTACAGATACCTGATAGCGACGCCACTCACTCGTGGCGAAGGCAATGCCCCTCGCACCACACTACCACAGTCGGTCATTTCCAAAGATACTGTAGTGGTGCGGTTGTTCCGCTATTAATTCTTTCCATTTCGAATGATGAGAGTGAGAGAACAAGAATGCCAGCATGAGGGAACTCGTCCAAGCACGCCCTTTCTTCCCTTTATGCTCGTACAGCCTCAGATAGGCAGAGTGTCATATCCAGGGTATTTCAAAAATTTCCTCTTTTTTCCTGACCATCATCGATTTACTTTCCTCCTCGTCATTAGGACATAGTTGAGACTCATTTCCCATCATTTTGTACTCGCGAAACGTGACTTTTATAGGAGTTTCCCTGCTTTTTCTATAACAGCAATGATCGAAGGGAATGATTTGCAGGGTTTTCAGACAATCGCTTCATTCCAGGAATATTCGTAGCGATGCGGCAAAATCGACCTGTCTCATGTGTTTGTTCTATGAGAGTGAAGGTGGTCGGAATGGACCCTGGAAATTGGTGAGCATTTCACAATGTTGCCCTTTGAGTATCCATTTAATCGCTCGGACCGTGTCAAGGGTCTTTAATGAACATTTTCATTGTTTCCACAGAAGCTTGGAGAAATATATTAGTGAAAATGTTGTACCCACACAGCGCTACAGCTCTAGGTAGAAAGGAAATTGGCGCTGTTCGCCGACGGGAATGGAGGGGGCATTTCGCATCTTCGCTGCTTCACTAGTTCGGTTTACAAGTCTCACTCTGGTGAAACCTGTGAACTCTTGTGAAGCTGGAGCAAGCTCGTCGAGCCACCGGGAGACGGGCAAGAGGATCGTAATTTGCCGCTCCGCCGCGCGCAGCGATGGGCGCGGCGTTTTCTTAACTCGTGTTAACCTGTCGACTGGAGCACCGGACTTCATGTAGACCCGTCATCATAGACATTCATGACTATTTTCGTTCTGAATTGCCTGTTGTCGCCATCTACGACCTGGAACCATCGTCATTTGCGGCGCGACGTCGCACGCGACGCTCATCAGCGCGGCGAATTACGATCCTCTTGTCACATATCCCGAGCCACCACTACCTAATTGCTTAACAAGGTTTGACAGGTACTCTTCTTAACAGTGCCTCTCACCAACGTTGACCATGTATCACTAGTCGATGATTCAACAAGATTACAAAGGTTTGCCCTGGCTTCTGATCGACGGGGAAGGCAGTCAAAGTCAAAAGGCCCCCCACCCTCCCGTCGTCCGAACTGCGCCAAAATATTTTTATTGGCAATCTGCCATAATGGGACGGGAACGTTGTCGCACTTTGCAAATACGGTCGTTCATGATTTAGCTTGATAGCCGGGCCTACAGTAACTACTCTGTCAATGAAACAGTGCCACTGCCACTCTGAAAACTTTAGGACGATGGGGAATCGCTACGGCCTGGTGCTAGTGTACGAAACGCTCCCAACAGCTGACATGACGGACACAAATGAGAAGTATTCATGGCCCTGGCAAAAAACGGCTACCGTAACCCTAGCGCCGTCATTGCATAGCCTAGATACAGCAGCCTCGTCGGGTGAATCTTATAAGGAGGATCGCACTTGGTCGCTGGAGAGAGGGTCTTGAGGGAATTTTTCCCGATTGTTGATTTTCTCGTTACATTGCACTACCTTCATCCCCCCCTCTCCTACCCTCGCTCGAAACACATCCGGCGATTATAGCGAAACTCACATGATACGAGCAGTGCCTAAGGAGGACATAGCATTGGCTACAGAGGCGACTTTGAAACTACGTGGTCAAAACAAGTAGAAGAGTTACTGTAATTGTTGTAGTCAAGGCAGAATCCCTCCTGTCGAAGAATGGATTGTTCCTAGCTTAACTTATCACAGGAAAAATGACATTTTGAACATTTGAAGTTTACTGTTTCATCATAGCAATAAATCTGAAAATATTATGTCAGATCAATGGCACCGACTCGTTCCCGACCTGTACCGCTATCGACATACCGGACGTTTTCTCCATTGAGTACATGTTCGAACGGCCGCAGCCCATACGAGTTGAACTGTGAGTTTTGGACTGTGCGTTTCTCTTTCTACGATTCATGTCACGAAACACTTTATGCCAAATGTCAAACAATTTAATGGTACATAAAATAAGATTTATGGTATGTATTGGACGGAGGGATTGCTCGCGCTGCCTACTACGCGCGTGATGAGGAAGTCAGTTCCTAGGCCGGTCAAAGGCATAAGACACGATAATTTGATACTTGCTCAAAAAAAGTAGCACGGATGCTATATAGTGCGAAATTAACAAAACACGAAGTTAAACGGCCAGAAACCAGAAAAGAAAGAGTTTCTAAAGCTGAGCGGCACAAATGGTAACGATGACCGTGTATTCTTGCTTGGGCAGCTCGTTGTGAGCATTCCCCTCGCGTCCCTGGGACAGCACAGGATGGCCTTCTTGGAGTGAATGCCCGGTTTGACCTGCTAATAACGGTTTTCTGCTTGGGCCAGTTACACGGTACTGTGTGATTTGGAATTGTAGAGAACCCATCACTCATCTCAACTAAGCAGTCTCCCAGAATATCCTTTTGATGAGGGTGGAGAACGAAAATGACATATCGGTACCCGGGTGCACCGCGCACCACCTGTTAAGGTATGATGCATCCACCAAGCCAGCACTTTTTGATAGCAGAAGGCTTACAGGCGGCTTGACGACTATCAGGCAGGTTCATCCGAGTCTTGTCTGCAAGACTGCGGATGATAGCCTTCGGATCCTCTTCGACAGCTTCGAAAACGGTGGGGCGTCACTTCGTGGGAAAAAGGAAACGAAGGCACGAAAGGAGGCACGATCTCCGAAGGCGA